TCTCTCTCTCTCTCTCTCTCTCTCTCTCTCTCTCTCTCTCTCTCTCTCTCTGTCTCTCTCTCTCTCCCTCTCTCTGTTGGTTTGTTGAGAAAGGGTTTCTCTGTGTAACAGTTCTGGCTGTCCTGGAACTCACTCTGTAGCCCAGGCTGGCCTCAAACTCACAGAGATCCTCCTGCCTGTGCCTCCCAAGTGCTGGGATTAAAGGTGTGCGCCACCACCACCCAGCTATCCAGCCTTTTCTAATGAATATAGTTATAATTTGTTTTTCTCATGCACTGCTACACACATATAACAAAGCACACACACACAAACACACATATAGTCTCTATAAACTATATGATATCTTTTATTCCTGATGTTGTTTTTATCTTCTTTGATTTTCTCCTTGATCAATCTACCTAGAGGTTTATCCATGTTATTGACAGTTTCAAAGAGCCAGCTTTAGGTTTCTTGATCTTTCTATTGTTTGTTCATTTTCTATGTTTTATTATTGTGTGTATATGATGGATGGGGAGGGCACACACATGCCTTGGTGAGTGAGTGCAGATCAGAGGATAACCATGTAGAGTTAGTTCTTTCCTTCTGCCTTCACATGGCTTTTAGGAATTGAACTCAGGTCATCAGGCTTGTGCCAAAAGCATCTCTACCCACTGAACCATCTTGTCAGCCCCCATTTTCTATTTTATTGCTTTCAGCTGCCATCCTTACTTTTTTCTTGGCTTCTAAACTCCAGATTTAATATGTTCTTATTCTAGCTTTTTACTTGTATAAATTTTTTGAGATTCTAATATAATCATATCATTTCCCCCTTCCCTTTTCTCCCTCCAATCACTCACTCCCATGTACTCCCCCACCCCCACTCTTTCAAATTCATGGCCTCCTTTTCTTTAATTGTTGTTACATATCTTTGGTATTCGATTACCAATTGCTGTGCTAGTCTGTGGGGAAGACTCTTTCTCCCTCTCTCAGCATTCTTTAGTTGCCCAGAGCTCTTTGTTTAGGTTTGAGGCCTCATGGGCTTTCCCATCCACTTTAGTCCCAACCCCACAACTGGATTTGTGTGTGTTGATGTGTGGTATGTATGAGTACTGGTGGGCATGTGTAGAGTCCAGAGGTTGACATGAGAATGCCTTTATCAATCACTTCTCCACCTTGTTCATTTAATGTAGTTGATTGATTAAAAGAAGTTCCCTCACTATGTAGCCCTGGCTGGCCTAGAACTCACTGTGTAAACCAGGCTGACTCAACTCTCCCCGGGCCTCAGCCGAGACTAAAGGCCTATGCATCCTTCTCTTTTGAGGCAGGATCCACTGAACCAGGAGCTCGCTGTCTGGGCTAAACTGGCTGTCCACTGAGCCTTCTGGATTTGTCTGTCTCCACCTCCCATCCCTGAGCTTGCAAATTGGTTAGGTCCAGCTTTGCAGGTTCTCACGTGGGGTTAGGGGTCTGAACTTAGGCCCTTCCGTTTGTGCAGCAAGCACTTGACCACTGAGCCACTGAGCCAGGCCAACACTCCTGTGTTTTTGAAGGCTCTGTTTTCCGAGGAGAGAATTCCAAGAAGACACATTTCACTCTCTTTCAGCTCATTCATTAAAGGGCTTCTTTTAATGCCTTTCACGGCTAGAGAAGTCCACAGTGACTCTCGGCTTTGGTCACCTGTATGTAATGTACCTTTCTTCCCATGTGCCTTTTCAGATTTCCTTTTATCAATGGCTTTCAGCACTGGATGTGTCTTGATGTGGTTTTGTGTTTGATGTTGTTATTCATTGTGCAGTTTAGATGGCTGGCTTTATGGGATTTTTAAAATCAAATTTGGAAAGTTTGTGTAATGTACATTATATTGGTAAATCGTCCTGTGCTGTTTGTGCTTGCTGGGAAGCTGGCTCTAGAAGCAGCCCCCAACCCTCGTTTCAGACCCAAGCATGTTTATCTCAGTGTCCTCCAAAGCAAATTGTCTGAGCACAGGCTGTCCGCCCTAACTGTGTGACACGGGGAGAAGAGAATAGCAAAACAGCCCAGGAGTGAAAAACAGCAGGACCTTGAGATCAGGCTACATTTCCTACAGAAGTCACTGTTGTTTATGGTATAAAATTGCCTGCAGTGGGCAAGCGAGGCCAGAGCTCAGATGTGGGAAGCGCATCCATGGAGGGAAAGCTCAATTGGGAACTCCAGCCCATGGTCTCAACTTCCCCAGTTAGTTTATGCTAGATGTTGTGAGCATCTGATTTGCTGAGGTTATCTCTATGTTGTTTTTAGTTCTCATTTGGAAGCCTCATTCAAGGGGGGCACTCTGCTCTGCCCAGGAATCTCTCTTATCTGAAACTCTAGCTGACTGGTGAGTGTTTTCAGTACCTGAGTTGACAATATTCTGTATCTGTCAATACATCTGTCTATCACTTGCTATTAATTCTTTTACTTTGGCTTGATATATACTTAATAAACTCACACATTTAAAGTAGCACTGGGCAGTGGTAGTGCACACCTTTGATCCCAGTACTCAGGAGGCAGAGGCAGGTGGATCTCTGAGTTCGAGGCCAGCCTGATCTTCAGAGCAAGTTCCAGGACAGCCAGGACTGTTACACAGAGGAAACCCTATCTCAAAAAACCAAAACAAACAAAAAACTAAAACAAACAAAAGACCACAAGTAGATATCATAGATTGTTTTCTGAACCTTACAAAATATTTTGGGCTATTTCTTTATTTTATTTTATTTTATTTTTTATTTTTTGGTTTTTGGTTTTTCGAGACAAGGTTTCTCTGTGTAACAGCCCTAGCTGTCCTGGAACTCATGTTGTAGACCAGGCTGGCCTGGAACTCAGAGAGACTCTCAAATGCTGGGATTAAAGGCATGTGCTACCACCACCCAGCTTTCTTCAAATATTTTTGTGTGGCCAGCTTTTCTTCTTTCTTGGGATTCTAATTGCACATACACAAACTTCTTGATACTGTCATCGAGGGTCTGTGTATTGTTTTGTAGGCTTTTCCCTCACCGTGCTTTATTTGAGATACTTTCTGTTTAAGATCTCTACTGGTGTGGGCTGGGGAGGTGGCTCCATCAGTAACATGCTTGCCATGCAAGTATGAGAACCTGAGCTGGATCCCCAGCATCCATGTAAAAGCTAGGCGTGGTGGCATGTGTCTGTAACCCCAGTGCTGGGAAGGTAGAGACCAGAGGATCGCTGCAGCTTGTTGGCTAGCCATTGTAGCCAAACTGATGAACTCCAGGTGCAGTGAGAGTCCCTGTCTCAAAAACAGGAATGGATACTATTGCAAAAACAACCAAATGAGATTAATAGCAAATTAGGAGCCAGGAATTTGCTCTTAATCTCATCCAGAGATATTGCATATTCAGGTATTATAGTTTTCCTACTTAGAATTTCCATTTGGTTATTTTTGCATAGCAACTATTCTTTTTTGAATGTGTTCATATTCTTTTATTATACTTTCTCTTTTTTAATTCATTGAGAATATTTATAATGGATGTTCTTTGCTTGATGAGTTGTGCCCTGTGGATGTGAAGGCCAAGGGAAATTTCTGGAAATCATAGAATCTTCCTATCATCTTGTTATATTAACCCACATATTTTCTTTCATAGGTCATTGCCCTGAAACACAGTGAGGGTGACAGTCCATCAATGTTCTATACTATCTATCTATTTAATGATATATCCATAGTCCAGGAAACTCACTGTTTGTTTTGGAATGCCATTTTGCTCTCCTGTTCTAAGTACTAGTAGGCAAAGTTCCATAGTACAATGAAAAAAAAAAAAAACCACAAACACATAACTGGTATCACATTTGGTCACATTATGGGTAAAACTAGAATTATTCATAACATCCATTTCACCAAAGATCACACTTGTTATACATGTAACAGCTGCCCAGGTTGTTGTCACAGAATGGAGCTTGTGTGTGGAGAGAGTTTACCTACAACTCATGAGTGTGGTTTCAAGAAGTTCTCTAAACTTGCCTGTCAGTCTAAATAACTCTGAAGCCTTTGTTGATGAAGTAAAGATAAAGCATTGTGCCAGAGGCAAATTAATGATTGGCCAGTCCTTAGTGCAAGTATGAGGAAGTCATCTGGAATTGCACATTATAAAACATATACTAATAGATAAAGGATTGAGTTAAAACATAAAAGATGATTATTTTTCCATCTTGGGTGCATGAATGACTCCTTTATCTGTTGGTAAATTTAGTGATACTTTAGAGACTTTTGCTTTACCTGTATGATAACACCATAACTTTTGACACATTTCTCAAGGAAGAAATTATATTTCACTATTCTTAATCATGTAATTATGGGAGTGGGTTGCTGGCAAGACATAGTTGTATGAGTGAAGACTGTTGCTGCCTTATCTGCAATTCTCACTTCCAGTTTTGCAAATACATAGAGACTCCTCTATGAAAATTGTTGCAAGGTACCATGGAACATTTTAACAGACTGTTGCCAATGAAATGAGGATTTTGCATTAACTATTAAAAATTTAGCTATATAGTTTAAAATTATTTGGCATTTTACTGTGTGGAATAGAAGCTTTCCCTCAGTGCATCATTTATATTTTTGACAATTACAATTTTTGATTACCAGTCAGATGATAAATAAATGTATTATATAGGAGATTGAAAATAATTTGAAACTATTTAAGAAATCATTTAATTGATCATAAAATTAGACCTTCGGGACTATTGGGCTGCTGGGAAAAGATAGATGTTACTAAAAAATATTTAACCATGCTCACTCACAATGATTATTCTGAAATAATCATAGATTTTAAGTTTATAATTTGATTGTCTACTTTTATCAAAAAGAGTATAATGACGTTGTAATGGGTCTAGAGTTCAAGTTCTGGGTTCAAAACTGTGTTCCTGACACTCATTAACCATGTGATTTTGGGCAAGCTTCATAATCCACCTAACTCATCTTAACCTCTACAACTGGATCTAGCACTGGGGCCTAGGAATTTTTCAAAAGTGTGTATTCTTGATTCCAACTACCAAAATTAGAGCTTCTGGGGCCCGGCCACACATGCTGGGCTTTCACAAGCCCTGTCTCCTGTTGTTTGTTTTTGATCTTTTGGGGGGCCCACCACCCAGCTACCAAACAAATCACACGTGGAATCTTATTCTTAATTATGCAGGCCCGACTTTAGCTTGGCTTGTTTTTTTGCAAGCTTTTCTTAACTTATCTCATCTACCTTTTGCCTCTGGGCTTTTCCCATTCTCTTACTTCTGTAAATCTTACTCTTACTCCATGGCTTGCTGTGTAGCTGGCTGGCTGGCCCCTGGAGTCCTCCTCCTTCTCTGGCTACTCTCTCTTCCTCCCGGATTTCTCCTTCTATATATTCTCTCTGCCTGCCAGACCCGCCTATCCTTTCTTCTGCCTTGCTATTGGCCATTCTGCTCTTTATTAGATCATCGGGTGTTTTACACAGGCACAGTAATGCAGCTTCACAGAGTTAAACAAGTGCAACATGAACAAAAGTAACACACCTTAAGATAATATTCTCCAACAGTTTCCTGAACAGCACTCAAGTTTGAGTGTGTGTGGTATATGGGTGTATGTGAATGTGTGCCAGGTGTCTTCCCCTGTTGTTGCTCTCTACCTTGTTTTGAAGCAAGCTTGAGAACCACTGGTCTCAGCAACAGTCATGCCTTCCATGATTTGCTTCTCTCTCTCTCTCTCTCTCTCTCTCTCTCTCTCTCTCTCTCTCTCTCTCTCTCTTTGAGAGAGGGTTTTTCTGTGTAGCCCTGGCTGTCCTGGAACTCAGTCTGTAGACCAGGCTGTCTTGAACTCACAGACATCTGCCTGCCTCTGTTTCCCAAGTACTGGGGTTTCTACCACCACCTGGCAACCTGCTAATCTCTTAAGAAAGTATATGCTGGCTAATTTCTTGTTTGGTTGATGTGTTTTTGTGATGTGTTTTTTGTTTCTGTATTTTTTGTTTGCTTGTCTGTCAACTTGACCCAAGCTAGAGTGATTTGGGAAGAGGAAATTTCAATTGAGAAAAATGTCTCCATCAGATTGGCCTGTGCACAAATCTGGGGGTGGGGTGCAAGCATTTTCTTGATGTATGGGAAGGCCCAGCTCACTAAGGGCAGTGTCATCCCTGGGCAGGTGGTCCGGAGTTCTATAAGAAAGCAGACTAAACAAGCCGTGGGAGCAAGCCAGTAAGCAGCATGACTCCATGGCCTCTGATTCAGTTCCTGCCCTGCCTTGAATTCCTGCCCTGATTCCAACAATGATGGACTGTGATGGAGACTTAAAAGCCAGACAAGAGCCCCAGCAAGAGTGGCAGCATGGAGGAGGCGTCCCAGAGCTGCCCCAGGCCGACAGTGCACGTAGGGTGCTGGCACTGCACTGGACCCGGCCGTGGAGGAAATCAAGGAGAAATGAAGATGGTGAAACACAGAATCTTGGTGCTGTCTGGGAAAGGTGGCGTTGGGAAGAGCACATTCAGTGCCCACCTCACCACAGCCTGGCAGAAGATGGAGACATGCAGGTCGCTCTTCTGGACATCGATATTTGTGGGCCATCGATATCTGTGGCCCATCGATTCCCAAGATCATGGGCTTGGAAGGAGATCAGGTTCACTAGAGTGGCTCCAGCTGGTCTCCAGTGTACATGGAGGACAACCTGGGGGTAATGTCTGTGGGTTTCCTGCTCAGCAGCCCTGATGATGCTGTCATCTGGAGGGGACCAAAGAAAAATGGCATGATCAGGCAGTTCCTCTGTGATGTAGACTGGGGAGATGTCGACTACCTCATTGTAGACACCCCAACCAGCACCTCTGTTGTCCAGTATCTGGCTGCAGCACACATTGATGGGGTAGTGATCCTCACCACCCCTCAGGAGGTGGCCCTCCAGGATGTCCGGAAAGAGATAAGCTTCTGCCACATTATTGGTGTGGTGGAGAACATGAGCAGCTTCATTTGCCCCAAGTGCAAGAAAGAGTCTCAGATCTTCCCTCCCACAACCGGGGGTGCAGAGGCCATGCGCCAGGACCTGAAGATCCCTCTTCTGGACAAAGTGCCTCTGGATCCACTTATGGGTAAGAGCTGTGACAAAGGGCAGTCTTTTTTGGTTGAAACCCCAGATTCACTAGCCACGGCAGCCTACAGAATAATTCAAAGAATCCAAGGGTTTTGTAGTTCTCGAAAGTCACATAATGAGAACCTCATCAGTCCCTGAATGGGACAGAGCCAAGTGTCACCTGCTCCTAGTCACAGAACCTGCAGGCACATGTCCAGCCACATCTGGTCAGCGGAGGACAGGTGGGGCCATGGCCAACAGATGCTGACAGGATTTGAAGTCACTTCCTTACCACACTTAATCGCTTATCTGTCTGCTTCCAGATCGAAGGTATAGGTACTCTGCATACAGGTGCCATTCATCGTAAAATAAAACTGCCTCCTTGAATCAGTTAAAAAAAAAGCCAGACAAATCCTTTCTTCTCCCAAGTTTGGTTTGTTCGGTATATTACTACAGCAACAGAAACCTAACGAGAAAGAAATCTAACTATAACAAGGTGAGTATAGCTGACATACTTTCTTCTTCCTTCCCTTCTTTTCTTCCTCCCTCTTTCTTTTGAATATTCACATTTTGTTTGTTTGTTTTGTCTTTTGTTTGTTTGTTTTTCCAGACAGGGTTTCTCTGTGTAGCCCTGGCTGTACCAGAACTTGTTTTGTAGACCAGGCTAGCTTCTAACTCACAGAGATCCTCCTGTCTCTGCCTCCCGACTGGCTTGGATATTCACATTTAAAACATATATGGGTATGAAAGTTTTAATTTTAATTAATTATTTTGAGGTGCTGGTAATCAAACCCGGGGCCTTCTTGCACTCGCTAGGTCAAGTGTTCTAGCATCCAGCCACACCCCTGGCCTCATGTTTTTTTCTATCTTTTTTTAATATTTCATGTCTTGAGTGCTCTATGTGTATACCTGCACACCAGAAGAGGCATCGGGTCCTGTTATAGATGGTTGTGAGCCACCATGTGGGTGCTGGGAATCGAACTCAGGACTTCTGAAGAGTAGGTGGTACTCTTAACCACTGAGCTATCTCTCCAGCCCCTGGCCTCATGTTTTTAATCCTTCACAGATACATAATAACTGTATGCTTTTACTGAGGAACAATATGGTGTTTCAGTAATACACAGTCAGTGTACAGTGATCAGATTCAGGATTACTGGCTTCCTCACTTCAGACATTTAGTGTTGCATTGTGTTAGGAACATTCAAAATCTTCTCTTCCTCACCAGCTGCATGCACCCTTGTGCCTATGGGCTGTCCTTTCTCTGTTATTACTGCTCTTCATAGTTCCTAGTCTGTGACAACTGTGATGGCTGTTCTTGGTGGTCAACGTGACTACATCTGGAATTAACACAAACCCAAGTAGCTGGGTATGCCTATGAGGGATTTTTTCCTTCCTTCCTTCCTTCCTTCCTTCCTTCCTTCCTTCCTTCCTTCCTTCCTTCCTTCCTTCCTTTATTTTGTTTGTTTCTTGAGACAGGGTTTCTCTGTGTAACAAACCTGGCTGTCCTGGAATTCACTCTGTAGACCAGGCTGGCCTTGAACTCACAGAGATCCACCTGCCTCTGCCTCCTGAGTGCTGGAATTAAAGGTGTGTGACACCATGCCCCTCTAGGGTTTTTTTTTTCTTAATTAAATCATTTTGAGTGTGAAGACCCAGTTTTAATCCAGATCTTTTGAGGTGGAGATCACCTATAATCTGGGCCACATGTTCTGTTGGCAGCCTGTATAAGGACATGGAAAAAGGAAGCTTGCTCTCTGCCTGGTTGCCCTTACTCTTATTGGCAAGTCCATTCCTTCACTGGCATTAGAGTCTACTTTTTCAGGATTCTGGCACATACTGAAGACCAGCTGAGACATCCAGCCTCATGTATTGAACAACTACTGGATTCTTGGGCCTTCCATTGGTGGACAGCCATTGTTGGATTAGCTGAACCACAGCAGCCTGTAAGCCATTCTAATCAAGTGTGTGTGTGTGTGTGTGTGTGTGTGTGTGTGTGTCTGTGTGTCTGTGTGTCTGTGTGTCTGTGTGTGAGAGAGAGAGAGAGAGACAGAGACAGAGACAGAGACAGAGAGACAGACAGACAGACAGACATGTGTATCTGGGTACATGAGTATACATGTGGAGGCCAGAGGTCAATTTTAGGTGTCTTCCTCTATTGCTCCCCCCCCCCCCACCTTATTGTTTTGAGGCAAGGCGTCAGTTTGACTGAAACTGGAGCTCACCAATTGGTTAGGCAGGCTGACCACTGAGTTCCTGACTCCTCATCTGTTTCTACCTCCCCAGCACTGAGATCACAGATGCATGTCACCATGCCCAATATTTTGTTTCCTTTCGATGCTTACACTTCCTTTAGATTTTATATCATAATGCCTGCATCCAACTAGGGACAGAGTTGAAAAAAAAAAAAACAACTGTTTCTCCTTCTCAGCAGCCATTGACTATCTGCAGTTCTACATCTAGGGGTAGAACCATATGCAATTTATCCTCTTCACATGGACTCATTAACTGGCATTGTCATTATTCTGGTCTTGTTTATGCAACCATATGTTTGAGGGTTCATGGGTGCTTTTCCCTGCCATGTCTAGGGGATAAAGTTGAATCGTTATTTATTAATTTATTTTTGTTTTTTTTGAGACAGGGTTTCTCTGTGTAGCTCTGGCTACCCTGGAACTCACTCTGTAGCCCAGGCTGGTCTCAAACTCACAGAGATCTGCCTGGCTCTGCCTCCTGAGTGCTGGGATTAAAGGCATGTACCACCACTGCCTGATGAAAAGTTGAAATCTTAAGACAGGCATGGTAGTGCATTTCTTAGACAAATTCAAGGAAGAGGATTCAAGAATTCCAGGACATCCTTGGCTACATAATGGGGGGCCAGCCTGAGCTACATGAAACTGCTTTCAAAACACAAAACAAAACATCAAAAAGTTTAAATGTTAAGCCTCCCTTAAATGTCTATGAAGCCCATAAGTAACAATTAACAGACTATAAATATTTGAGGAAAAGTTCAAGCAGACTAAAGTTCAGAGGAGGCATGGCCCTACAATAAGAGAACCCCATCTGCTGAGATGGCTCAGCGGTTGAGAGCACCAGCTGTTTTTCCAGAGGACCCAGGTTTGATACCCAGAATCTGACACCCTCACACAGACATACATGCAGGCAAAACCACTAATGCACATAATAGAAAAAAAGGGAAAAAAAGCGATGCCCATTATTTTTCTGTTTTTCTTTGATGTGGCTCCTGTGCATGGGAAGCAAACATTGTCCTGCTGAGCTACATCCCCAGTCCTCAGATAAAGGCTTTTAACAGTAGGCTTTCGTTGGCCTCTGTTTGGTTTTAATCAATGGAATGGAGAGACTGAAAAGGGCTGAGCTGCCCTTTGCACCTTGTCCTCTTGCTCCAGCCAGACTTCATTCCAGCAGGTATGACTCCATATGGAAGTCAGCATAGCAACAGCACGAAGGGGTCTGGTGGGGCGAAGCAAATAAAATGGTCAGCATGGAGGAGATGAAACTTGGGAACAAAACGTTGGCATTTCTCCTTAAGAGAGCAGAAGATAGCTCCCAAGTCTCCAGGGCCAGCTGAAGCCTTGAGCTTTGAGCACAGCAAAAGCCTGCTTCAGTAAATAAAATGGAGATCAGCTATCAGACTCTGGCTTCCACATGAACACATGCACATACACATATGTACACACACACATGTGAACATGAATATACACATGCAAGTGCACACATAGGTTAAAAAAAAAGTTCATGGTCATCCTTGGCTACAAAGTGAGTTCAAGGCTACATGAAACCCTCTCTCAAAACAAAACAAGACAAGTAAGTAAATAAATGTCAGTATACAGTATTGCTTTTTCTGTTGATAATTTATGTTGAATGTTTTTCCATGCTGCTATACAGGTGTTCCCCCCTAGCCTCCCACTAAAGGATATTCAGCATGTTTCCAGTCTTCATTGCTCAGTATTTTCTTGTATATACATACAATTTTGCAATATTTCTCTAAGGTAATTGGGTAGAATTGGTCGGGAGGTTTGTGTGTTTATGAGTTTGGTAATTTGGGGGTTGTATGGTATATGTGTGTGTGGACTCATGTATGTACAGGTATACACATGCACAGAGGCCGGAAGAGGACATCGATGTCCTCCTCTCTGTTCCTGCCGTATTTCCTTGAAACGGGGTCTCTCACTGAACCTGGAACTCAACGTTTTTCAGCTAGGCTGGTGGCCAGCTTGCCCCAGCGCTCCGCTTATCTCTAACCTCTCCTTCCAGTGCCAGAATTACTGTTTCCTCTGGCCATGCCTGGCTTTTGCACATGCTGGGGTCTGAACTCAGGTCCTCATGTACAGCAAGAGCTCATACACACCGAGCCATCTCCCCAGCCCCATACTTTTGATAACGTTTATAAAATTAACCTCTGGAGTTGACCAGTTTACACTCCCACAGGCAAAATTTGAGACTAACAAATGAATATTTTCACTCTATATTTTGTGTGTGCCAGAAGGTTGACACTGTGCCAACAGGAAATAGGCTCATGGAAATGTTTTCTGCCAGCATAGGTTACCAAGTCAGCTGAAGCTGGGCAGCTAGATCACATCTCTCCTGAAGTTGTATGAAGCTGTTAACTTTATTTATGGAAGCTCATTAAACAATCTTTATAGTTTGGAATATTATATTTCCTAGAATATACTTCCAGTATCCTATAAAGCTGAAATGTGATCTCTAACCCCATGATGATGTCCAAAATAAATACTCTGTTTTATAGCCTGTGAAATGCTTTCCTACACATATTTGTATTGATGATAGACTGACTTGTTTTCTTGGGGGGGGTGTGCTGGGGATTGAGTTCAAGACCTTGTGCTGTTAACACGTGCTTAACCACTGAACTACTACATCCATAACCCCTGCATGTATTTTCTTTTATGTTTTAAAATAGCTTCCTTAGGGGATGGACAGATGGCTCAGCATTTAAGAGTACATACTGATCTTGCAGAGGACCTGAGTTCAGTTCTCAGCATATAGGTTGGGATGCTCATAACGGCCTGTAACTCTAACTCCCATGGGAATTTGTTGCCTTTGGCTTCCAAGGGCACACTTCACATGCACATACACATATGCGCGCGCGCGCGCGCACGCGCGCGCGAGCACACATACACACACAC